ATACATCGTGGTGACCAAAACTGGATGCAGTATTCCAAGTGTGGCCTTACTAAGGCATTGTAAAGTGGTATTCCTGCCACATATTTCAGAAATTAAGAACACAACACAGGAGCTGCCCTTTTCTGCACGTGAGCGCAAGGGCAGCTTTCAAACTTCATAAAACTAACTTCTTTGGATTGAGAAATGGACGGTGCAAATAACAATGAGATTATCTCTTTAAAGATTGATCTGGAAAGGCGGTTGTATGATCTCAGACATTCCCTGGAAAACCTGTATAATCTGGAGAGACGTACCCCAAAGGAGACCCCCCCCCTTTCAAAACTTGCCTAGCATCAATGGGCAACTAGTGCAATGCCGACTTATTGGAATCCATAGGATTCCATCCTGAGTAATGAGGTTATGGTCAGAGGGACAACGGTACAGTCGACAAGTGGCTCTCATTTTGCGTGAGCGCCTCTCTGCCTTGTGAGCAAAGAGCGACAGCAAGTGCAATTTTTACAAGTGACGACAACAACAGCAACAACAACAACAAGCAAAGGCTGCAAGAGGAGGAAATGATTTATCTGACCAATTTTGTCCGTTTTTTCTCTGAGAATAGATGACCTCTTCCTTTGTTGAAAGGTCCAGGTTTTAGCAGCTTATTTCGTGGCAATTTACAGAGTCAAAGAACAAACACATTATCTGGTCCAGTGGAGCCGTTTTCACATGTTCACTGATTCAAACATTCTTTTACTCATATAACAAACAGCTGCATACCACATTAGCGCAGCCAGTGACAGTCACCCATTTCTGCAATAACTGTTTGATTGCAAACTTGACCCTTTCTTCTTCTCAGCCTGAACTAGACATTTTTTTTCCCCCCAAAAAAAGCAGCCACTCTATTCCCAATCCTCCCTTGTGAAGAATTACATCAGATAACAAAGCCTTTACTGCCACTCATTGTAAGCTTTCTTCTAGAGACCTGTTCTAAGAGGCACCGTGTATAAAAGGTTTTATTTTTTAATATGATGAATTCAGAAACTACTATCATGTTAAGAGCACCAATTTACAATAAAAGAATCGCTCGGTTAAGATCTGAAAAAGAATAGTTTCTCAGGCCCTCTGACCCAGTTTGCAACAACAACCGCACAGAAAAAGGAATCAAGTGATGCAAATTAAGTTCTGAGACCTGTTGTGGGCTTAGAAATCGGTTAACCGTATTTTTGTAGTAATGTTTTAATGTCTGTCTCAATGGCTATTTCCCTTTAACTTGGGGAATAAAAGCTTCTTTTGTATTCTGCTGATTTATCTTCCACAGGTAGCAATCATTTCGCAACAATTTAAAAGTGTTTCTTCAGAATTTTATAGCGGACCAAGAAATATTACTGAAGACAGCCAGGTTAAATGTAAAAGCATGTTATTGAATGCAGGAAAAAAAAATGAAACTTTGGTATTCTGCATCTATGACATGGCTTATTGTACAGATGCAGCATTTCTGTTCAGAGGCTACAAGGAAAACAATTAGAAATTATTCATCCAATTGACATGAGTGGAAACTAAATCCAGTACGTAAGTTTACAAGTACGAGATAAATGTTGCTCAACTTTCTGGTCTTCCATCTTTATAATCGGTCAGTCTTATAAATTGACTAAGGTCCAAAAATGCAGCTGGTTTTTTGTTTTTTGTTTTTAAATAGAGGGCAAAATAGACTCCAAATTCCCCAAGATGAAAGAAGATTAAAGGTACATGAATTGTTTTCATATATGGTTAGGAACTTTGCACCATAGAATTCCTGATCACTGATGGAGACTGGAGTGGACCGCAGGACTTGGCCAGTTTTGAAAAAGGCCAAGCAAGTTCAAAGATGAGAGGTTTAGTAAAGAAAAATCCTATCCTTATTTTCTTCTCTCTGTAACTGGAGACTGTGTTTGGCCTGTGTCGCCAACAAGTAATTTCATAGATGGACAGACCATTAATTTGGCCAGGAGACTGCTGTGGTCCAGGTATCTATGGTTTACCCAGCGGTGGACAACATCTAAAGGCATCTGCTGTGGCAACCTCTCACCGCTGGCAAAGAATAATGGAAATTGGAGATTGAAAACATCTGTCAAGCACAGCTGCCCATCCCTGAGTTACTGTAATGGTGGGAGAGAATGACCTTGGGAGACAGGAGGAAGAACCCAACCTAGACAAAGCTCTGATAAACTACATCTGAGTCCAAAAGAGGAGTGAGGTTGGAGAAACCTTATAATGAAGGTAGAGTTAGTACTCATGGTTAGTGCTTCTTATCTGGACTATCTCAAAGGCCTGATAGTTACGGGGGGGGGGGGGAATAGAAATGTATTTGATTGGTATTTTTGATGGTGAAAACTATATATTGTTCTCATCCAGATTAAATCAGGAAGGAACAGAGGAAGTAAAATGAATTTCTTTCCACCCTAAAAAGCCAGTTGTGAGATTTACCCACCAAGCCTATAATCAAATTAGACAAATTTCAAGGGTCTCTTTGAGCAGAGTCAAGAAAATGCCTCACTGAAATCCTGATAGGGCATTTGTATTTTCTTCATAAAAAAAGTCAAATAACAATAGTCAAAGGCTATGTTTGTTTGTTTCTCTTGTGTCTTCTAAAGCGGTGTTTCTCAACCTTGGCAACTTTAAAGAGCTCCATTCCTCCAACACCGGGGGTTTTTAAGACAAGATTGGACAACCATTTGTCTGGAATTGTATAGGGCAGGGGTAGGCAACCTTGGCTCTTTTATGACTCGTGGACTTCAACTCCCAGAATTCCTAAGCCAACATAGCTCAGCATGGAAACCTCTCCCTTTCCCCTCAGCATGGCTAGCTCAGGAATTCTGGGAGTTGAAGTCCATGAGTCATAAAAGAGCCAAGGTTGCCTACCCCTGGTATAGGGTCTCCTACTTGAGCAGGGGATTGGACTAGAAGACCTCCAAGGTCCCTTCCAACTTTGTTATTCTGTTAAAGTCTGGACTGAAACTCCCAGAATTCCCCAGTCAGAATGGGAGTTTGAGTCCACACTTCTTAGAGCAACCTGGAACTAAGAAGAAATTTCCTTACAGTTAGAACAATTCACCAGTGGAACAACTTGCCTCTAGAAGTTGTGAATGCTCCAACAATTGATGTTTTTAAGAAGAGATTGGACAACTATTTCTCTGAAATGGTATAGGATTTCCTGCCTGAGCAGGGGGTTGGATTAGAAGACCTTTAAGGTCCCTTCCAACTATTCTATTCTATTCTATTCTATTCTATTCTATTCTATCCTATCCTATCCTATCCTATCCTATCCTATCCTATCCTATCCTATCCTATCCTATCCTATCCTATTGTTGCTCAGGTGGAGATACACTGCTCTAAAGCATGTCCTGATCCTCTTTGGCCAACTTCTGGGGCACCAGTGCTCCAAAAGGGACAGCATATGTTCAAAACATGGGCAAATGCTCTTTGCATGGCAGACCAAACCTTTCATGTTTTCCTACTGGATTTTGAATTCCCTTAAAACAATCCAAGCAACTAGATGGTATAAAAACCAGTCTTCCCCGTTTCTCATAGGATTTCTGCATGTCTTTGATGACAAATATATTGTATACACGAGGCCTGAATTCTAAGAGGTGTCGGAGGATTTCCTGGGTATTTAAACAACAGTGTTAATCTCTATAGGAATCTGTGGAATGCAGAGGACAGATTTATAGGTCTTAAGAAGTGGGGGGGGGGAGCTTACAGATTTATTATAAGCCACCTCCCCAAACTAACTCTTTTATATAAATCTGGTCTCAGAAATGGAGGATACTGGAGCATGACAAGAGCGGCAAAAATAAACTGGCATCTACTTAATAACTGTAACAGTGGATTGCCTTCAATGCTAAAATATTTATTGAAAGCCAGAGAGGGGGTAAGCACGAAAAAAAAAAAAGAACAGCCTGCTATCAGATCTTTAACAGTGGGCAGTGTAATGCCTAAAGGTCTCTTGAACTGTCTTTCATTTTCTAGACTTAATGGCTGATTGCAGAAATCAATGTTGCCATTAGTAACAGAGTATTTGTTATGGCAATGATTTCCTCCGTTGTTAGGTCTGCAGAATGATTACAATATTAGCGAGGTGCTTTTGTTATAAAAAGGGCTGGAGATATAACTTTCAATTTGCTATCCATTAGTTCAAGGGTCTAGAAATGAGAGATGAGGCCAGAAATCTTACCTTTATTTTTAAAGGCATATATATATATATATTTGCCAATAAGGCTCAATATTGTGGAAGGCTTAAATGAAATATTATTTTGCTTTGCTCTTTTGTGCACAGCGGGATGACGCTAAAACCAATGGGATATTTTTAAAACATGATTTTATGAGGTTTAAAATGATTGCGGAAGACAAGAAACATCCATGGGAAGTCGATGATTCCTTTCTACTGGATCCTTCCTATCATTCTTAGTCTCTGTGTATTCAGAATTTCGGGCTCACGTCCTTAAAGGTATCCCACATTTGGCCATATAAATAAATTGTATCTCATGATAGAAGGATTTATCAAAACAGAAACAAGAGTAAAATGTGCCTGCTGAGACTAAAAGAGGAGAAATTACTCCGTATAGACCAGGGGTAGGCAACCTTGGCTCTTTTATGACTCATGGACTTCAACTCCCAGAATTCCTGAGCCAGCCATGCTGAGGGAAAAGGGAGAGGTTTCCAAGCTGAGCCATGCTGGCTCAGGAATTCTGGGAGTTGAAGTCCATGAGTCATAAAAGAGCCAAGGTTGCCTACCCCTGGTATAGACAGACCATCCAGATAGATTTGCATTTGCCCAAATTAGGACAGTAATATAAAAACAATATAATGCAGGACGTCCTCAGCTTATGGCCATAAATTAATCTGGAATTACCACCTCACCGCGCATGAATTTAAAACACTGGTCATTAAGTCAACATGGTGGTTGTTCAATGAGCCGGTTGTCTGCAATGGGTGCAGTTTTGGACCCCTTCAAAGAGGAGACACAACACTGAAAGCGGACCTACCTGAGGAAGAAGGAGAAGATGGATGGGGACTGTCTTCCTGAGCACTTCCTGTCTGCGAGAGGCCTCCGCCCATCCCACTTTCCTCAGTAATGTTGGAGGAGCCGGGTGTGGTTGATCGGCTGACTGACTGGGATTCCTGGTCGCTTCCAGACCCACGGCGCTCATCGATGTTCCCCTGGAGGATCTCATCTTCGACTTTCCTGTCCCTCTTGTGGACTCTGGAATGAACCACCACTTGGTGGTAGGTTCTGAAAACTCGCCCGCAGTCGGGACACTCGGTGGGCTTCTCTTTTGTCCCGCCGTGACTCTGCATGTTGTACTCGAGCCCCGGATTCATACCGTGAGACAGGAAATCTCTGCTCCCTTCCAAAGGGTCCAGTTTTTTTGACAAGTCTCTCTGATTGCCCATTTTAGTGCTGTGAAGCAAATCAGCAGGCATTTTCTGCTTGGAACCATCTGCTCCTACTAACACATACTCCCGCTTCTCCTTATCAAACAGAACTCCAGCGTTTGCCAAAGGGTCTTCGTGGCTCCGCTGAATCTGGTGCTCTTTCGACAGGAAACCATGCTCCATGGCCATTCCCCTTGCCATGAGCTGCCAAGCTTGGTAGCTGTTTACAGGGTCCATCTCAGCAGCTTTGGCAGCAGCCTGCAGCCTTTCTATGCAGCTCGATTTGAGTGGAGGCACAAGGTTTAGACAACCCAATAAGGAATGTTTGTCCCCTTCAGCAAGACTATGTCCGATGCTAGCAATAGGAGACAGGAGTTTGCCCAGGACTTCGCGCTCTTTCATGGGCAAATCCCCTTTACTATAGGCGTGGTTCTGCTCACCGAGGCCAGCTTTGTCTGGGGGCAGGAAACCACTCTGCAAACAGGACAAGTATCTGGAGTACAAGTTGGCGTGAGCTTCCTGGGACATGCTTCCCACAGGCACAGGGACTTCTGAGTCACCGGGGGATTTGTTCTTCACCGACAACTTATTCAGGTGGACTTTCATGTGGTTCTTGAGGAACCATGGCTCCTTGAAGCGCCTCCCACAGATTTGGCAACAGTGCTCAAAGGAGTCCTTGTGCTTCCTCATGTGGCCTTTCAGGAACCAGGCTTGGCTGAAGACCTGGCCGCACACTTCACACCGGAATTCGTTGGCCGCCTGCTCCCCGTTTCCATTGGAACCCTGGCCCTGAGCAGACTCGGCAGTGATGTGAGCTTTTTCCACGTGGCTGATCAGCTCCTCCTCCTGGGATGCTGCAAAGTCACACAATGTACACTTGTAAGGCTTGTGGAGGATCCGGATGTGCCGGTCCAGCTCTTCCCGCTTCTTGAACTTCCCTTTGCAAAAAGTACATCTAAACCCAGCAGCCGTGACAACCACTTCTTCCTGGATGCTGGCAGGTTTTGGAGAGGGAACAGGGTTAGAAACATCAGGGGTGTTGTGGTTTGTGGACATGGGTACGTTGCAATTAGCCAGAGGGACAGGCTGAGCATGAGGGTGGGCTTTGACATCAGGCCTGGGTTGCAGAAGACTGCTTTTCATCTGCTTGTCCCTCAGGATGGCCCGTTCTTCCAACTCATGCAGAAGCCGGTTTTCTTCTCGGACCCGCCCACGGCCTTTGCCCAGGTTTCCAAGCTTGTGAGTACGCAGGTGTATCTTCAAGTTTCCCTTCTGAGCTGCTCTGTGGTCACAATAGGGGCACTTAAATGGTTTCTCCCCAGTATGGGTGCGCATGTGTAGTGACAGGATGCTGTTGAACCGGAAGCGCTTCCCACACAGGGGACATGGGTATTTCCTGTTCTTTCTAGCATCGTCCTCTATGTCACTCATCTGAGACATGATGCCTAGGTTTTGTCCATTTAAAAACTGCTGTAGATCTACCCTCCCGTTTAAACTGGTATCAACCTCCCGGTTGAGTTGATTGGCCAAAAGGGCCATCTGACTGCTGATAGGCTGGTTGGCTAAGGAAACGTGGCTCTTGTCTTCTAGAAGTGCCACCGCCTTGTCCTCAGGGTTCTGTCTGGTCTGAAGTTCAGGGAAGGCATGACTGAGCTGGGAGGTGATCTGGTGCAACTTCTGACTCATGGAATACTGGCCATTGAGCAGGGAGCTGTTGAGGTGGGCCTCGGCTTCTGGTCCCGCTGAAGAAACACCAAGGCACAGACTAGCTTCCTCCATTCCTGCAAAAAAAAAAAAAAAAGAAGAAGGAAAAGTTTAGATTTTCAAGTAGAGTGGTTTCATCAGCAGATCTATGAAAGCATGAAAACCATATGCAACATTCCTGCAGTCAAAACTCAATAAACATATATTAAATGTCAAGTGCATGGTGCACTATTGCGATTGTTTTGTCTTAATTATACGAGGCCTTCATCACCCTGCGTATTTTTTTTTTGATTGCATGGATTAATTAGGCTTCTAAAATGAACACATTACCCTTCTGAATAGCTGGTTCTTAAATAAGTCGCATTAAGCTTTCAGTGCCACCAGGCCCCTTTCTTTGGGATACCACACCTGTTTACATTTGCCCATCTACACAAAAGAGAATGGTGATGCCTCTTGCTCACTGCCCCCTTTTAAAGAAACAAAAATAGAAACCCATTTATGAAACTTTCAGTCCCATTAAGTCTATTCAATAAATTCCACATTCTCCAATGAGAAAGATGGTTTTATGATTTGATTGGTGTTATGGGGGGGGTTGTTGGGTGGAGAGATCGCATGATATTTACTGGTACACAATAAAACAAGATAATGTTTGGGGAAAAAATAAAGTAAAGGACAAGCTTTCGAACAATAAAAAGGATTTTGCTTTAGTCAACAAAAAGTGCGGTAATATCTCATTAAGCTGATTAGTATGCGACTTAGAAACAGTACTAGGTGCTGTAACACATGATTATAATCATAAAAATCCTTCAGTGTTTGCAAGTAAGCATTAACGAGGTATATTAAATTTTAAGGAGACTGCGACTAGCAGCTTCGCAAACCTCTGAGATTAAGACTTAACCCTTCTGTTCCAAAGCAATTGTTCCTGCGTCATTTAAACAGGGCATCCATCTAAAGAGACATAAATTATCTTCTTTACTTGTCGAGCAAATTCATTCAATATTTAGGCAAAACCTGCTTTGTTTTTAGCTCCGTTGCTAAATTCCTTTTTGCAAATAGGCAAAAGAAAGAGACGAAAGGACACTGATTATTTTAAAAGAGCTCTCTTTGAAGACTCGATAAAACCCAATTAAAAGCCAGGGAAGGTGTCACAGAAAGCTTCAACAAGTTTAAGAATTTTTAATAACTTTCTCAATATACAGTAATGAGTACAAATGGTACCTACAAAGTTGGCACTGCAGAAAATTAGAACTCCAAGCTGTTTGTTAAACAGCGGCGTGCAGTACCGGTCAGCATAATTGTCCCTAGTAATAATCTTCTCTCCTTGCTATATAATTCAGAGAAGGCAAGAAGGTGTTTGCAAAAAGTCAGTTGCTAGTGTTGCTTCTAATACACTCTCAGAAAAGGATGGGAAGCAATCAAGTGAAACATATGGAGGGGTTGACCCTCTCAGCTTCCGTCAGTCTTTCACACTATAAAAATGCCAACATTCCTTCACGATGAATAGAATGCTTAATCCTCCACAAACGGTTCAGGTGTTCAACCCGTTCACAGAGACTGACAAACAGATTCCATTTTAGTACAGAACAGACGTTATGAACCTTTGCGTTATGAACTTTGATTGCTAAGTGTCAGTAATCGAGAATCAAGATCACGAGAAATACTAGTGCTGCTTTATAAAGCCTTAGTAAGACCACACCTGGAAGAGTGCATCCAGTTTTGGTCGCCACAATATTAAAAAAAAAAAAGATGTTGAGATTCTGGAAAGAGTGCAGAGAAGAGCGACAAAGATGATTAGGGGGCTGGAGGAAGCTAAAACATAGGAAGAACGGTTGCAGGAATTGGGTATGACAGGCCAGATCCTGAAGTTGAAACTCAAGTACTTTGGCCACTTAATGAGAAGGAAGGACTCACTGGAGAAGAGCCTAATGCTGGGAAAGGTTGAGGGCAACAGAAGAAGGGGACGACAGAGAATGAGGTGGCTAGATGGAGTCACTGATGCAGTAGGCATGAGCTTAAATGGACTCCAGAAGATGGTAGAGGACAGGAAGGCCTGGAGGAATGTTGTCCATGGGGTCATGATGGGTCAGACATGACTTTGTAATTAACAACAACAACAACAAGCCTAGTGAAAAGAACGACTAGGGGAGACATGATAGTGTTTTAATATCTGAGGGGCTGCCACAAAAAAGAGGAAGGGGTCAACGTATTTTTCAAGGCACCAGAAGGCAAGACAAGAAACAATGGGTGGAAACTAAGTAAGGAGAGAAGCAACTTAAAACTAAGGAGAAATTTTCTTAAAGGTGAGAAAAATCTACCAGTTGAACGACGCCTTCAGAAGTTGTGAATGCTCCAACGCTGGAAGTTTTTAAGAAGAGACTGGACAACCATTTGTCTGAAATGGCACAGGATCTCCTGCTCCAGCAGAGGGTTGGAATAGAAGGCCTCCACGGTCCCTACCAACTCTGTTATTCTATGTTCTATGTTTTTTTTCCAAAGAAATTATAGTTGTTATGGGGCCTAGAGGGGTGGGGTACCACTTTGCCAGCTTAAGGAGAAGGTTTTAAGAAAGTTGTGGTTCCCCAGACTACAGTATCAAGCCATTCTGGGCAATTTGGTCAATGGTAAGAGATGTTGGGAGCTGTATTTCCACCACAAAGATACTCCATACTTGCTTTAAATCTGTTGATGGCCTTCTCTAGCCCTTTTCTCACAAAAAAAATGGTTCTTCTTACTTCTAACCCTATAACTCCAATCTAGAATGAGGAGGTCCCTGCATAACAGCGGTTCAGCTTGAAATTCGTATTTTGAGAGTGACCACGCTTGACTTTTTATGATGTGGAATGGACCCTAGGAAGCGTCAGGGTTGCCTATACATGATGAGGGAGAAAAAAAAGTCGCTTCAGTATTAGTTGCACTGTGCCTTAAGCAACAATCTTCAATTAATAAACAAGGCAACTTCAAAGAATTTTGAAGCTGGTTAACTTAAACTAATCATAATTAATCAGGCCAATAGAGGAAGCTGTGGTCAACCAATAGTAGATGCAAAATTTTCTAAATTCCTTCCCCAGTCTAAAGCTCCCTTTGACTCATTTATGTTACAATAAGCCATGAAAATTAAATTTAGACTTCAGCTCCCTTTTTTTTCCAGCCACTGAAGATTTGTTTTTTAGGAATGTCATCCCAAACAGCTTGGGAAAATGGGCTTATTGTGACATCCAAATATAAGCAATTATGCTTGAAAATAGATCCCATTAAAATAGTATTAAATATACTATTTGTGAATCTTTTTAAGGCATTTTATTAGAAATCTGCTATCACTGGCCAGTTGTTTTTTTACAGAATTTATTTTCTAAGTAGGAACTAAGATATATAAAAATCCCCGCTGCCAGGGAGGAATGGAAAGAAATCTTCAACAGCAGAAATGTCTGCTTGTTTAGAATCCAGCAGCTCTAATGCTTCATTACAGGCTATTGTTAAGATTTGGGGAAGAAAGGTTTATAAAAGGTCTGTAATTTAAACATTCTTAAAATAATTAAATTTCAGCCTACTCTATTTCCAAGTAAGTTTACTGGGCTTTCTTCTCAATAAATGGATAAAAGAAATGCAGCCTGGATGCTTAAAATGTTTAAGCTATAAAACTAGCTATATATATATATACAATATTTGTGGCATAGACCTATTTATTGTTTATTGTTTATTCTGTTACATCTTCCAACAGTTCATAGACAGAAGCAGCACGGAACAGCCCCTGAATCTCAGAGTCCCATTTCAAATCACAGAAGACTCTCCCCTGAAGATTTTACACATATTTTTTTTGTCAATCTGAAACCAGCTGATTACAGAAATTTGGATGAGAAAGAATTATTTGCCCTGCGATGGATTATTCAGTACAATCTAAAATATATATCCTGAGAAATGAAATGGTAGCCTGGATTTAGATTTTCCTGCATGCGTTCAAAAATTAATGCATTTGGGTAAGATGGTGCCCTTCCCATTTTGCAATTTAAATTTCAGAGGAGAAAAAAAATTGGAGAATTTGTGACTTAGGAATTGTTGATTGATAGCTACTATGGCTCTGGTGTGGAGCCTGGTGGAGTAGGATGGCCGGAGGTTGCAAGATAATCAGAGATTCTCTGCTCTGTTACAAGTTTATGGAAAGGAAACTGATCAAAACTCATCTTCACAATGTTAATATTTGCCGAAAGGGGGGGAAAACTAGAAATTGACTAGGGAAAAGATATAATAAGGATTAGCTCATATAAATAAGATCAGTAATAGCAAATGCAAGAAAGCCAGTCTGGTGTAGGGGTTAAGGCATTCAAGATAAAAACTGGGAGATTGTGAGTTCTAGTCCATCTCAGCCAAAAAGCCACCGTGCAACCTTGGGCCAGTCACTTTCTCTCAGCCCTAGGAAGGACGCAGTGGCAAGCCACTTCTGAAAAACCTTGCCAAGAATTGAACATAATTCTGAGAATTGAACATAATTGAAAAACAACAACAACAACAAAGTAAAATGTAGTGCCCTTAGTCACTATGCAGAAAAACTTTCTATGACCTAACACACAGAGTCACTGTGTCCCACAGCAAAAGTTGACCGTCCTTGCCTTGCATCATCTATAAAAGATTTTGACCTCCAAGCAAATAAAAAGTGTTCAGCTGAGCTGGATTTTTGAATATTTTGAATACAGTAAGAAGTAAGTCTCATTTTTTTTTTGCATTGTTTCCAGTCAGTCAGCCCGTATGAATGTTCAAAAGAGCGTAGCTTTCTCTCCAAGTCATAGCTATTCAAAGCCGCTTTAGTCTTGAGCAGATCTCCCATGGGTCTGACCGTGGCAAGCTTGTGGAATGGGCAGCAAAAAATTGGTTAAATCCGATTCCTATTGTTGAGCCCAGCGATTGCTTAGCTAAGATTGTTATGATGTGATAATATAACTCCTGTTAAGAAACACAGGGCACCAGATTCCTGAACCTTTTCAGGGTCATTAAGCAGCTGTAAACATTATTACAAAAATAAACCAGAGATTTCATGCTTACATTTTAGCCCAGAGCTGTGTGTGCTGAGCAAGTGTTTTGTC